TCAATCAATCAATCAATCGCTCAAGGAATTGTATGATTGATCGAGTGTTTGAATGATTGATTGATTGATTGATTGATTGATTCATCGACTGACTGATTGACCGATCACATGGAGCCCACACAACACAAAAAATCAGAGATACAAAGTTGTGGCAAATGGCTATTGCGCACTTGTTGCAAACACTATCGTGGACACGGATCATCCTCGATGTCCACCACACACACACTCACACATTTCGACACCAACTAGGTTACACAGAACTGCAATCTGGACACATCATCCGGACGGTCTCGTAGGATTACCATAGACTGTGGAAAGAAAAAAAAACAGGAAAAAAAAATGTACTCGACGGCCATAGCCCGAAACTCGGCGCGTTTAGTGGTGTCGCCATTTAAAAATCGCCAAAGATGGAGGTGTTAAAACGTGCTCGCCCACGTATTTTTTCACATTTTACTTTTTGTTTTCACTTTAGTTCAGGGTCTAAACAATTTTATTCTAGGCTACCAGTTGTCCAATTGCCGGTTGTCCTGGCCGGACGTCCTGGGCGGACATCCTGTGCGGAGTTGTCCAGGATCCTGGACAACTCATTTTTGTCAAATCTGAAAAGCAAAAAAAAAAAAAAGAGGGGGGGCTACGCTTCACTAGGGGACCCCCCAAAACTTTTTTGAGGCCATTCAGAGCGAAAAAAATAAAAAAAGGTGTCGGGGGTGGGAAAGAGGGTGGGAAGCATATTTGCGGCGCCGCCGGCGCATAGGTGAAGTGCGCTGCGCAGTGCTCTAATCCCATATGAGCAAACGTATTAGCGCAAAAAAAAAAAGAAAAAAAAAAGCAACAATGATGTGTGTATACACGCGCGCGTGCGCGCGCGCGCGCGCGAGAGAGAGAGAGAACACAGAGCCCTTTCACATTATTCAGACTACCCCTGCATGTACTTAAAAAGGTCCCTGCCAAAAATTGGCAAGGGTACTGTCGGCAGGAGATGGGTGGACACTGAACGGGTCGTCACAGGATTCGTAGTAAGGAGGGAGCAGGCCGGCTATATATGGTGTAGCTTCAAATTTAGGTCCGTATTTCAACAGTTATGGGTTACTGACTTGCTAACTTGGCATGTGATTTTCAGGGCTTCACTCCACTGGTCACCAAATGTGCAAAACTAGACTGAATCTTCTCCAAGAAACTGGAACCATACAAGCCATCCGTTTTTCTTTTCTGCAAGTGTCACTGCACGTAAGAAAAGGAAAAACAAAAAAACTAGACAACTACTGTATGTGCAAAACTAGAATGAATCTTCTCCTAGAAACTGGAACGATACAAGCGATCTCTTTTTCTTTTCTGCAAGTGTTGATGAGTGGAGCCACGCCCTTAGGGTCACTGTAACGTAAGAAAAAGGAAGGAAAAAAAAAACGAGACAGCTATTGTACGTGCAAAACTGGAATGAATCTTCTTATAGAAACTGGAACCATACAAACCATCTGTTTTCCTTTTCTGCAAGTGTTGATGAGTGGAACCACGCCCTTAGGGCCACTGCAACGTAAGGAAAAAAAAAAAAAAAAAAACGAGACAGCTATTGTATGTGCAAAACTTGAATGAATCTTCTCATAGAAACTGGAACCATACAAGCCATCTGTTTTTCTTTTCTGCAAGTGCTGATGAGTGGAGTCAGACCCTTAGGGCCACTGCACGTAAGAAAAGGGGAAAAAAAAAACGAGACAGCTACTGTAGTGTTTTTAGTAAGCTCGTAACCCATAACTCGTGAAACACAGACCTGAATCCGAATCTATGATATAATGCTGGTCTGCTCGAAGACCTACAGCAGTCCAATGGACATCCTTCTAGTCGCATGGACACCCTGCTAAATATTTTCGAGGCCTTTTGGACGAAGAGGAGAAAGAAGAAGGGAAAAAAAATTGGGAGGAGGAGGGGGTCGGGCGCTGATTTCATATTTGAATTTGCCCCAATCTTGACTGTAGATCTCTTAGATCTGACGGCCCAGACCGGGCCTTTTTTGGTCCCGTTTTTGGAGGCCCTACCAGCGTCAGTAAAATTGAGCAAACGCAAGGCGGGTACTACAGACCCCCAAAAACATCACCGCAGGACCGAAAACCTCGTCAGACCCACATGAAATTATTCCACCACCCCGGACACTGGGCCCCACTCGGACTACCGGGGGAGTTGTCCGATCGGACAACTTGGAATAGAAAAGGGTCCCGGACGTCCGGGCTGGTAACCTAGATTTTATTATTTTTTGAAACTTTTTTAGTGGGTTTTGTATTATGTGAAGTACACATCTGTAAATTTTTGGGGCATTGAAAAATCACCAAAGATGGCGGTGTCGAAAACATGCTCGCTCACTCACTAAATTTAATTCTCTTTTTATTTTTATTTATTTTTATTATTATTATATATTTTCCGTATTTTATGTTTATTTCAAATCTGGTAAGGAATTCGGATGTAATGCTCAGGCAAATCTTGTTTAATTTATTTTTTTCCATAACATATCGTTTTTTCAGATTTTTTTGATGACTTTTGTTTTGTTTTGTTTTTTGTTTTTCTTTTGGGTCCGCGTTCTGCCCGAACGACCGAATGCATTCCCAAGGGGTCCCATACGTTCGGGCGTTCAGGTTCGGGCGTTCGGCCCGTCCCGAACGCCGGTTACCCTGATTGACACAATACAAAAAATGTGTATTGAAGTTTGTACAAGATCTTGAAGAAGAAGAAGAGGAAAGAGAGTTGAGGAGAAGGGAAGAACATGGACGACCGTAAACCCTAAACAACGATGATGAGCACGACGTACTTATCATCATCGTCATCTCTCTGTCTCTCTCTCTCTCTCTCTCTCTCTCTCTCTCTCTCTCTCTCTCTCTCTCTCTCTCGGTTTAGCGAGGCGAAGTCAATCTCTTTTTTTCCAGAATGAGCGTCAACTTCATAGGCCCCCAAGCCTTCTTTTCTATCTCCACTTCTGGTAATCCTTGCACCTCCTCTCTCTCTCAATGTGCCTCCGCTTGCAGTTGTTGTGTATCAGTTTTCTCCAACTGCAACGCACGTTCCGCCTCCTTTTCCAACTCCTTAGTGCGTTCCTCCTTCGCACGTCTCTCTCTCTCCACTCTCATCTGTAACTTATGTTCCCATCTCGATAAGATGGGAAGACAATTGTATTCGTCCACGGTACCAACGTCGCATACGGGGTCGTTTCTGCCACGACGTCCCGCGGACGTGCTCCCACTCTCCTCTTCTACACGACGCCCCGCGGATGTGCTCCCCCTATCCATTTCCTGACGAGGTCCGCTGCCAATATCCGCCATCTCTCTCTCCCTCTCTCTCTCTCTCTCTCTCTCTCTCTCTCTCTCTCTCTTCGTACCATGTACACCACAAAACAGTCAGCGGTCTCTCTCTCTCTCTCTCTCTCTTCGTACCATGTACACCACAAAACAGTCAGCGGTACGAATCGTCGTCTCGACACAAGCCAAAATTTGTACGAGCCCCCAACGACGATGACTACACCACAAACCGAGAACATTGATGTCTATCTATGTATAGGTTTACATATATATATGGAGAAAGAGAGAAAGAGAGAGAGCCTCAACGAAAATGTGTCGTATAGAAGATGAAAAAAAAAATAACGAAAAAAAACTACGAAAAACATATGTCAATGACAATCGACGTTTCCACGAACGCCCACATCTGCAGAAATGATTAGCCGGAGGCGGTATGAATAACAAAAATTGAAAAAAAAATACAAATGAACACGACACTGAAAAAAAACACGAAAACATAAGACATTGGCAGGTGTCGTTTCCACGAATGCGCACGTCCGCAGAAGTGAGAAACCTGAGTGGGTAAGAAAAAGATAAACAGGAAAAAAAAAAAAAAAAAACACGACACAAAAAAAAAAATGAAAAACATAAGATAGTGACAGGTGTCGTTTTCACGAACGGCCACGTCCGCAGAAGTGAGAAGCCGGAGCGGGTAAGAAAAAGACAAACAACAAAAAAATAACAAACACGACAACGGAAAAAACAACGACAACGAGAAGATATTGACAGGTTCCGTTTCGACGAACGGCCACGTCCGCGGACGTGACAAGCGGGAGCGGGTAAGAAAAACTGGAAAAAAAAAAAAAAAAAAAAAAA